ATATGACAGAGTCTGGTCAACATTCCCAGCCCAAGGGTGAAGGGGGTGATAAGGACAGTGTGGAGTGTGAAGGGTTTTCATGAATGCAGCTCGAAGGGGCACACAACACTACATTAGGAATAAGCACGGTAAAAAACTGTGATAGGGAAGGCATGATAGAAGGATATAGGAAATGTGAATAGGCCAGGGCAGAAGGTGAGATACCATAACTGCTTAGCACACGTTTGGTCAAAGGATGGGCTTCACTTGTCCATTTGACGAGTTGTAATATGCTGCTACGAATGGCGAGACTCACGTTTGGGAATGTACCGCGTGCACGGTCCGACTTTGGAAATAATTATGCATACAATGGACTCAGGACAAGGTGCGTTCCCATAAGTCTTCCTACCAACATGACCAAGTTGCGAAAACAAGGTCAAACAACTTCTATAATCGTTTAGGTTGAAGTAAAGGAGTGTGCATATGGGAATTTCAAAATACTGGCAATAGGAAAAATGAAGCATTTAAACTCAAAATGACTTCTTCAATATTTTACAAGTAAATTTTGAACACCACCTGTACATACTCTAGATACCATTAAGTGATGGAGCGACAATTGAATTGCTTCAATAACTCAAGTAGGCTTCACGATGCCACTCAAGTTGATGTAATTTTGCCAGAATAGGCCTTAGTCTATTTCTAAGCAGAATCCTCGACGGGATTTGAAACCTGGTCCTGTGCGTCACTTGGCAACACGTTCTCTAAGGTCTAAGCATCCATAGGTACCATTGGGCCGCAGGGCGTATGTAATTGTCAAGTTAAATGAAGTCGCCATTTTGCATTTTCATAATGAAATTATCGGCCAGGCTGGTTTTGCCGCTATAATCGACGATTCCACCTGTTATTTATGAGTTTGTTTCGATAGTATCAGTAGATCTGGATTGTGGGATAATTCAACTATGTGTCTTTCATTAACCAATGGCGACCTATGGACAATGAACGCCGGGAGTCCGCTTGCCTGAAAATAGGGTTAATAAATAAAGGCCTTAGTGACTAGAGTCTTCATCTTTCCTTGCTTCGGCCGGCATACTACGTAAACTCCAACAGGGTTTCACGCTAATGCGTTCCTATCATTTCATTCTTCAGCATATACGCATATTCTGTTTGCGTGCAAATGAATCTTTTTGCGACCATCTTGGTCTTTATATCCAAAATATTTTATTTTCCAGTGTACGACAAAGGTGCTTGGGGTGCTTTATCACGAAGCCAGTGAATAAACCTATTATAATCGTGGGCTTGTGCTAATTCGATTGCACAAATATTATTATTAGTTGAGTTGGCAATTGGAAGTTGAAAGTAGGACAAGTATATGTTTGTTCACGCCTTCGAGACGAATGGAACTGTACTCTCCTATTCTTAAGAACCGTGTACAGGTGATTCAGCCGCCTATAGAATCTACACGCGCCTATACTCAAATGTCTAATCGAGCATGGATAGAACGCCATCACCGCATTTACGGACAATCAAGCGGCTTTGGAGTGCGAAGCAGCCAATGATCCAGTTGCCAGGATGGCAGCTGAACTGACCGAATAATTCTGGTGGGAAGTCAATGGGGCAACGGAGTGCATCCTGGAGTTGCTGCTTACACATTACGTTGCCGTCGCCCAAGCAGCCTCCCGCCTCTTGACCGACTTGACAGACGGTCAAGAGGCCGGGGGCAGGTCGGGTAGTTATGAGGAGGAAACCAATCAGGAGGACGTATCAGCCGTTATTGGGCGAACCGGTCTTTGGGACTGCTGCAATGCGTGGGCAAGACTGAGTGCGCGCTTTGCAATGCTAGCCCAGCCATGGTTACATTGATTTCGCGAATCGGAATTCATGTATCGGCCAGTCCGTTGTCCAGCTCCGTCTCTTCGGCTTGACTACAGCTCTGACCAGGCACCCCATTGTGGCACTGGGTTCGTGAGGCCACGGGGGCTGCAGTATCCGAGTCCTGGTATTTGTCTCAACTTGCCCCCATTGTCACAAACACCGGTCCACACCTTGCCGTCGTTCCTCGGTCGTCACTCCCACCAGTCGGTTGGTCCGTCAATCCGTCGGTCGGTTGGTCGGTCGGTCTCAGCCTCGCTACCACATCTAGCAACCCGGATCGATCGTGGTGATTGCCACAGTTGTACGAGCCAATGGAACAGACAGGCTCTACGGCAAACCCACCAGCCCAAGCTGGAATGCAGACAGTTGAGGTAGCATAAACCGGCCATCTCTGGCCCATCTCTTAGTCATTTTGACATTCCCTGCTTTCCAGTCACATTCTGTTCTTGGTCGAACGGGCGGTGAGGATAACAAAGCGCTGTATCCTCACAACTGTGCCACCATTTTCTTTGTCTCCTAGCCAGGTCCTCGTGCTTTCGTGGACCTCAATACAGCCGAGCATCCTGTACATTTTGCCTTTGGCATCGTGCCCTGGACGCAGCTTCCACTATGGGCTCCTGGGATGAAACTTGCGTTGGACTCATCACCAATTATCCTGAGCTCAATTGCCTCCTAATCGCTAGTAATGATGGTCAAATTTACGGCACCTCTAACCAAGCCGACTTTCTGGTAAGGCGAACTTCATTTTTACCATTACCACCGTCTATGCCAACCCCCATTCCCCAACCCGAAGGTCTATTCAGGTTGTGTATTATGAATATCTTATACAATCAGGTACCATGGCGACAATTGATGCAGTGATTGTAGCTTATTTGTGTATCTCTGTTGGTTGCTCCTTTGCCAGATGGTCTATATTCTGATCTACGCCCACGCGTGACTTTCGAATGGTCTGGAAACTAATGTGTGGTTTTTGTATTTTCATGATTATTACAATTGTGTAATAATGCCTTTGACCCCACGGATCCGAGTATGGTGGACTCAAGCTGTAGGAACCTGCTGGTTTCAGACAAACCCTTTTCGCATCTCGTGTTGAAGGCGGTCAGAGGTGCCTCATCTAGGCTCCAGTGCCCATTTCAGTGGTACAATGAAGGCCAGGTCGCAAAGCGAAAAGGTTGCGTCTGTCCTACAGTAGGCGAGAGAGCATGTCCCTGCACCTGGGAAACGCATCGCTCGACCTGTTCAATTTTTCTTGTCCTAGTCCGAGTGCCTACATATACTACATGACCTGATGTGGTGCAATTCAGTGCGGAGTGAACTCCCTTGACTTGCCATATTCAGAATCATTTCACACCAGCGATGAACCAACAAGTCCGTCTTATTTAGTTGATCTGAAAGCCTCGGTTACCCAGATAAAAGTTGACATATATGTAGAGAATTTTATCTCTATGACTGTACGAGGGCTACTTTGGAAGATTGGTTAGCAATAGAAGTGGTTCGATTTCGTTTACGCAACCCGGTCGTGTTGTCAGGGCGACCTAATTGGATGCATTTTATCCGAAGTGCCCTATTATTGTAATTTTCATAATTCATAACGTTGGACCGTGGACTTGGTACATTATATATATACATGTATGTGCATAAATATACGATCAAAATCGCTGTTTGGCTGTCTGAAATCTGGCTTTCAATTCCCATCCTCGATTACGTCACATTCGAGGATTTAGAACAGATGATGCCCATGCACATGGCAGTGCCTGGGAATCTTCCTCTCCCCATACTTCAAGCCCATTACTCGATTATCCTCTCCATCATCCCCGCCCACATTGTGTCTCATTCTTTGGGGCCCTGTGTCCGGCTGGTGTTAGAATGCACCGCTTCCCTTTGTTCCCTTTGAATCGCGTAGAGCACACTCCTCCCGTCTTTCACGTTGGCATTCCCATCTAATTCTAGGGTACTGGGTTGTTACTTCTGTGTGTGTATTGACTGGTATCCCCCATGGTCAAGCATGTAACCAGTCGCCTCTTATTCAGACATAGATATGAAAAATATTCACAATTACGCGCACACAGGCGACCTATATCTGGCCCACCTATACCTTTAGTCTTTAATTTCATATCCTATCTCTCACAGATGAATCCTCATGGGTACATTTGTTTGACTCCTCTTGCTGCAGTCGTTTTTTCTTGACTTCTTTTTGTTCCTCTTGAGCCGCTTCTCGGTGATGTCTCTACCTGTTGTTGAACAGTTGTCGTGGGTCCCAGTGTCTTCTTTTTGATGTCTCCGCTGAATCTCCAAGTCTGCTCAGGCAGTACGCGAAATTATCGCTGACTCTTCCCTCCTTCAATCTCCTGTTCACCAGGTTTCTTTGAAAGAGGATGTCTACAGATCTTCCGTTTCTTGGTTTCTTCCCCATATGAGGTCAGTCTTTCCGCTGCATTCCAGTCAATTGTATGGCCGGTAATGGCGATGTGTTCAGCTACCTCCGATCTTTCCGTATCCATTTTTCTACATAGTCCCTGGTGTTCTTTGATCATTGTGCTGATTGTCCTTCCCATCTTTTTAATGTATTCTTCTTCATAGTCCTTGTAGTTTATGCTGTAAACTATGGAGCACTCCATTTTGTTGACTTCCTCATGTTGTATGGGCAAGCTGGTGAAGAGGATTGTACTTTTCTTAAGGATTGCACGAAAGTTGCATTTCCCTAGTATTGACTATAGCCTCCGAACCAATTCGTAGGAGAGTAGACATATCCCAAGCTTTTCCCCTGCTCTTCTTGCTTTCCTTTCAATCTCCGTCCTTCCATCTATTCATCAGCATCCGTATGCTGCGTTGTACAGCTTTTTCTGGATATCCGTTTCAAAGAAATATCTGAGTTGGCTCTCCAAGTTCCTCTTCCCATAACTCAGAATCAGTAAGTCGTAAGCTTCTTATGATCATACTCCGGAGTATTCCAATCTTCATCCCATAAGTATGATTCGATTGAAAGTTAAAAGTTATTCCAGCAAGTGATTTCTTTCGGAAAAGTCTTTACTTGAGGGTTTCATCGGAGCGAATGACTGCCATATCCAAGAAAGGTAATTGTCCGTTCTCTTCCACATCCATGGCAAATTTGACTTTTTCATCCATTTCGTTTATGAAGATCAGGAAATCGTCTAATTTTTCTCTTCCATGCCACCAAATTGCGAAGTAGTCGTCCAAATATCGCGTAACTACTGTTGACTGCTGTGGTAACATTTTGAAATTATCCTCTAACTTTTCCATGACGAAATTTTCCAACAGAGGTGAGAGTGATGAGCTCATAGACAGACCAAATATTTGCTCATAGATGCGGCCTTTGAACGTCAAATAGGTCGTTCTTATTGCTGGGTTGCTTAATCGGATTAGAGACTACGCATTCGCTCTATCTCCAGGATATCATTTTCTTTTGCCAAGATCTCCACCAGTGCGGTGAATGCTTTTTCTCCTGCAATGTTAGTGTACATCAAAGCTCACCAAAAGTTAGTACCTTCCAAGCTGGCGCCTTTGATCCTTTGGCTTAATTCGTATGAATTCTTCACTATATTCGATAATATGTCATTCACTTTCTTCAATTTGAGGTAGATAAATTTCGCCAATTTATTTGTCAGTCCATGTTTGTTGTGGATTATCAGTCTCAATGGTTCTCCTTCTTTGTGTACCTTCGGCAAACCATATGCCACGGAGACTCTTGCATTCTTTC